TATTAAAAAGCTGACATAAGAACTCAAGTATCATAATACACACTTGATAAGGTTTTGAAGGTAGCAGAATATAATGACTGTTTTCCTAATTATCACTGCAGTAAGGAAAACATAAAAAGTTATGTTCAGCATACCTCATTTAAATGTATTTAAATACATACAAAATTATGTATTTTGTTTAAGAGGGTAAAAAAAGTATAATGAAGTCACCTATAAGAAGTCACTCACAAAATAATTACAAAATTGAGGGAAAAAACACATAGTTTAAAAATATTAACCCCTTTCATTTGTATAAAAGGAACAAGAATAACATAAGAATATCAGATAGTTTTGCAAATAAAGAACACAACTTGCTGAAAGGCAGAAGATACTGAGGTTTTAATGTACAATTATCAGATACAATATTCCTAACTGCAAAAGTCAAAATATTCATTTAGATAAATAGGGCTGCGGATATAGCTCAGTTGGTAAGAGTGCTTGCCTCCCATGTACAACTAAATCAGAATATTTTCCAAGCAATATAAACTTTAGTAGTTTCACTTTTGTACCCTCATCTGAAAAAAAATGAGAACACTGAGTTCACAGGGTTACTGTGGGAAATACATGAGATAATGACACACTAGCTGATATTCAGGAAGTGAGAAATAAATGCTAGCTGCTGTTATTCATTGGAGCACAAAATAAATACATAAAAATGATACTCAGATTGGGAATATAGTTCAGTAGTAGACTGCTTGCCTGGAAAGGGTTCAATCCCCAGGACTGTACCCACCCGCAAAACATTAACTTTTACCAAGGGATATGATACATTTTAGAAGTTTTTCCGTTTGACATTGTTTGTATTTGGTACATATGTATTCTACCTGAATTCTTCATTTACCTCATCCCCAAAGTGACCTCTTCCAGCAGGTATTACACAGGAATCAAATTATTCCATCTTTCTCCACTAAGCCCCTCATATAATTAAAAAGTTATATATAAAGATGAAGTTAGTTACCCTAATTACATGAGGCTGTCATAATCCAATAAATACCCTTTCCCAAATAAATCTATTTCTGCCTCTTGCTTTTTAAACTGAATAAAAAGAGGGGGTCAAGATGCTTGTCAAAGTGTATGAGTACAAAAATCTACAAATAACACAATTTCAATCCAGAAATTAATAGAATTCAAGGTGAAAATCCTAAATTCAAGCCACTACAAATAATTAGAAAAGAATAAATATTTATTGTAGGTATTTTTTAATTCACATTTATGTATGTTACTACTTACCTGGCTTTCACTGATGAGGCTATTATCAGAAACACTGCCTATGGCTTCCTGCCTTTCCTCACACTCTCTCATTTCTAAATATGTATTTCTTCATCTATGTGATAAGAATTTACTTGCTGTGTGCAAGCCATTAAACTAGATGCAGTATAGTATACAAAAAAAAAGGATTTGTTGCAGCCTTCAAAAGGTTTGTGATTTCACTACTGATATCCTTATTTCATATGCTAAAACATGCTCATTTGCAAATGTTTGTGGGTCCGTGTTTTAAAAAAAAAAGTATAGGTTGTTATGCTGAAGAAATCAACAAATCAAACATCTTTGTGGCTTACAACAAAGCTTTATTTCTCATTCCATTTACATTTTATACAATCTACAAAAACCAGTTTCTGCTTTGCTCCATGTTGTTTTTCTGGTCTAAAGGAGCAGACTCCACCTAGCCCATGATTATCTCACAGCAAAGAGAAAAGGTACATGGCAGAATAGGACAGCTCTTTGGGCTTCAGTTTGGCATGGCACATCATTTCCACTCACATTTCACTGGCCAAAGCAAATCGCCTGGCTGAGGACTAGGGACATAACAATCTATCACAATACCTATCAAAAGTACTAAAGAAGAGAAAAATATTTAGCCTATTCAAAACAATAATAAAATTAGTATTTATTTAGGGAAGGTTTACTATGTGCCAGACACTATTCTAATATTTATATGTATTGAACTATTCAATTTTCCTAAGAAGAAATCAACAAACATGTATGCTATTGATGAAAACGGATCAACCAAGTTTGGGAATTTGTAATGAGGAAAAATATTTCAAAAATACTTCAAAAATATTTCAAGCTCTCAAACACTGTCTGATACGTTAACAAAGACAGCAAAAGTAGCTAGCTGCACCTGAGGGATAGGAATCTGTTTATCCATTTTATCTGAAGTAGAAACCAACCTATTGGTTTTAAATGTTCCAAAAGTTTCTCAAATTTTGGCTGAGCCTGTTTCACCGAAAGATGAAATATACATAGAACTGTTATTAATCTTAGGACCCCTTGCTCATCAGTGGTCCTTGCAGACTCAATTGCATACTGGGAAATAAAGCAACAGATAAAACTATAGATTGGAGCACAAAATAAACTTTACAAAGAGGTCTCAATCACTTAGTCCCCACTATAGTCATTAATTAACAACCACTGAGGATCTACCACCCTAAGAACTATGTTTGAGGTAAACACAGATCAAGTTTAAATTGAGAAGTTGATATAGGACTAGGTGAGATAAATATATATGAAAACATCAAAATGAATAAATAAATAACACCACATCAAATAACCTAAGTCCCAAGTATTGCTATTTTGAAAGAATGCAAATTTATCTGGTGACACATTGCTATCCTAAATAGTTAAATTTACCCTGGAAAATTCCTTAGGAAAGTAAGGATAAATGTAGATGATTTATTAAGTTTTCTCTCACCTCAGGCTCAATCCAGGGAAATGGACACTCTATGGCACAAGCTCAGTAGATCAGCTGAAATCACTGGCTCTATTTAAATAACCTTTTCTCTAGCTTGTGTGTATATGTTGTTGGATTTTGTTTAGCTTTTTGATTTTTACTGATATACTGTAAGTAAATTCAAATGTTAATGTAGCAGCTTACTACTTCCTTGATAGTTCTTTTCCTCTATTCCCAACTCCCCTCCTTCCTATATGCCTTCTGATTCCACTCTCATATTTTACTCAAAATATCTGAAATGTCATTTGCAAATTTTTAAGCATTACAATAAAATTTGATGCATTATTTCCCCATTAGTTGGTTCTTTTTTCACTCAACCTTTTCAGATTCTCATTACTCTCAAAGCATAATAGTAAAAGAGAGCTTCAAAATAACATTTAAGGGAAAGGAACCACAAATTTCCCTCAAAGTAAGATGAACATCATTGGCTCTCTGGGGAAAAAACAACAACAAAATGTATAAAACGTAAATAAATGTATTAATTTGTATTTAAAAACTATTTACCTTGGCTTAAGTTTTTTAAGATGTGAATCAAAAGTCATCTTGAATGATTTAAAATTTTATTTTCAAATCTCTCATATCAGTTGCAAGCAAAAAAAAACTCTTAAATTTGGATTTGTAGTCATAATTATCATCAATTCCCAAAATCTAAAATCTTAGATTTAGAGATTTATCTATAAACCCAAAAAAATGGCTGTGCCCTAAACTTAGATATATTGACAAGTTTTTATTAACCTACAGCAATGATCCCTTCAAACTTGATTTCAGTTCTAGGGCTACCATGAGTACATTATTATTTATGAAAGTACAGTTAATCCCCAAAATGTCCAAGGGGGAAGAACTAAACAGGATTACCGCTATACTAGCCTTAAGTTATTCAGTAGAGTATTTTACTTCAGAGAACTACTTTCAAGTTCCCCAAATGTAGAACACTAAATTAAAAATTAATTTTTACCTTTCCCCAGTTTGAGAACCTTACTTTTTTAGCTATTCTACATTATGTATTGCTCCACAATTGCCTTCAAGTCTTTTCAGAAGCCACTAAACTTATCTAGTAAACCCTCTTCTTTTCCACATAACAGTATTTAAAAGCCTAATAAGTCACCTCCAAAAGTTCCAATTAACTCGTTTAACTCTGCATTACCGCATCCCCTTTATGTTTGTTTAGCGTTACATTAATAGCATTGAAACGCGTTTTCTATTCAATCTTTAACCACTCACATTCCTCCTCCCACCCCAATCCTACCCCTGTCCAATCTTTCCAACTTTGGTCTAAGCATTTAGTGTAGTCTCCACAGCATGCAGTAGACATTTAATATAAGCCCCTAGGTTGTATTTATAATAGGCTGTGTAAAAAGCGACAAAACATTAAGACTTTGCTGATGAAAATGCTAACCTGTGTATGTAACGTGTGTAGGCTGTTAATACTGAAATGAATTCAGAAAAATTCAGAGAAATATGGAAGTGAAGGATTAAGTAAGGCAGTAAAAAAAAATAAAACCACCATCACATTGTATTGCTTCAAAGCAATACAATAAAACAATTGCTAAATTATTGTGATGCTTTAGTAAAACTATGGATGGGAACAATTCCGGGACTACCATCAGTCTAAAAAATTACCTTCCCTGGCTCGGGATGTAGCTCAGCGGAACAGCTCGCACCTGGCAAGCGAGGCCACGGGCTCCTCCCCAACACCGTATAAAATAAGAACTAAGAAATGTCTTCCAAAATTACTAGCAATGACATTTTTAATAACACTAAATTCCTAAGAAAAAAGTTTTCCTGCCACGCAGACTAATTAAACAATCTTTCTGTTCGGAAGCCCAATAAACACCACTTACACCAAAGACCGAAGTGGTGAGCAAACAGGTGACAAACGGAAGGGCCGCGAAAGTGGGGAGAGAAACCAAGGAGACTCCTGTCCTTCTCTGAAGGCAAAGGTTCCGCTCAGAGTTCCCGAGATAACCACTCCCCAGAGACCCTCTACCTCGGCCACGGACCAAAAGTTTCCAGGAAACCAGAGGTCCGGCTCCCTCTATCCGCATTCACACCCCCACTCGCCAGGCCAGCGCCGGCGAACGCAGCTAGTCGTAAGTCCGCCGCCCTCTCCCGAAGAGAGGGTCAGCGGAGGACGCTTTCCCGAGGCCTCCTCCGGGACCCGGCCAGCAAGGACTCCTCAACTGTGGAGGAACCTGAGAATCTTGAAGGAGAAGCCTGACAATTCTGTTACCTGGTTGGAACCCTGGAAACGGAAATAGCAGCTGTAGCCGCTGCTCTTCTCCCCAACAACGCCTGCTTCAGCGCCACTGACATTATGACCGCCGCCATCTTGCTGCAGGCAAATGGCAGGATGGGAGGACGGATCCCCGCAAGGGTCTAACTTCCTTCGTTCTCAAGCCAGTACAACCGCAACGTAACGGATTCGTGTGGTGTCTGCTTTCCTTCCAATACTGGGGTTTAGAAAAGAGTTAAAAGGTTTGGTTGAAAGAGATAAGAAGGAAAATGGATGAAAGAAAAATGAAGAAGTGCATTGAGTGTAAATATTGCCCCATAAAAAAAAATAATCCTTATTAGTTGGTAGGACTTATTATTTAAAATGATAATGGAAAGTCCAGAAGAAAATAATTGAAAATTTAAACTCCTGCAACTCATAATTTTTCAAAGAACTCAAAATATCAAGAGCTGAGCCCATTGGGAGAGCCAGAGAGCTCGTTGAGTCCTTGAGAAACAAAAGTAGCACTTTCCCAAAGTGTTGCCAGATTGAGTTTGCAAGCCCCCAGGACAGGACTGTATTCCGTTTGAATTTCTATAGTTATAATGATCATATTTTCCACAAACAATCTGGCCTCAGGAAGGATTTTTTTCAACATGTGGACTCATTTGAAACCCAATGGAACCTAATAATTTTTAAAATTTTAATGTATGTTTTGATTCAAATTATTAAACATGTATGAAGTATAATGTGGTGTTTTGTCATAGGTATATCTTGCATATGGAGCACTATATTTGATATTACTATTTCCTCAGTAAATCCTGAACGTGTGATCATAATTCATAAACATCAAAGATATTATTTTAGTGCTGGGAATTTAACCCAGGGCCTTGTTTATGCTAAGCACAAGTACACTCCTAGTCCCCCAAATATTATTAATAATATTTATTTAATTAAATTTAATTTATTAAATATTAATGCTCAGTGCAATAAAACAAAAACTATCTTCCAAAACAAGTGTTGGATATGTGTTTGTATTGTGGACTACTGACTTTTAAGAACAATGATTAGCTGTAAAAATTATAGAAATGGAAACTAGAAGTTGCCAGTGGTTAGGACAAGAAAGGAGTAGCCCTAGGTTGACCTTTGTTGTGATGGAGTAGTACTGGATTTTTATTGTGATGAGGCAAATTGACATGTTAGAGAATAACATAGGACTATACAAACACTTTACATCAATATCAGTTTCCTAGCTTTGATATTGTACTACTACATTTTGAGACTGTGTGATTCTATTTATATAACTATAAGTAGATTTATGCAATTTGTGACCTTTTGGGATTGGCTTCTTTCAGCATAATACCCTTGAGATCCATCCAAGTTTTTGCATGTATCTATAGTTCATTTACTATTTTTTATTGCTGTGTAGTATTCCATGGTATGGATAATTTAACCATTCACCTACTGCAGAACATTTTGATTGTTCTCTGTTTAGGGCAATACAAATACCTGCTTTGAGCAATCATGTACTGGCTTTTGTGTTTTCATTTCTATGAGATAAATGTCCCAAAATGCAATTGCTAGGTCATGTGGAACATGTGTGTTTAGATTTTTTTTTTTAAGAAGCTACCAAACTGGACTGGAGATATACATCACATCTGGGGGGTGTACAGCTTAGTGTTATAGTGTTTGCCTAGCATGCGTGAGGCCCTGGGTTTGATCCCGAGCACCACAAAATTACAACAAAACTACTTGTCTAGGGTGGGGTTGTGGCTTAGTGGTAGAGCACTTGCCTCTCACGTGTGAGACCCTGAGTTCATCCCCAGCACCACATAAAAATAAACAAAGATAACCATCTCCTTCCACCATCCTTGTTATTCCCCTTCCCCTTTCCTCCCACCCACTATTCCCTATCTAGAGGTAATCTTCCTCCCATGCTCTCCCTCCTTACCCCACTTTGAGTCACCCCCCCCCCTTATATCAGAGAAAACATTCGGCATTTGTTTTTTGGGGATTGGGTAACTTCACTTAGTGTAATCTTCTCTAATGCCATCCATTTCCCTGCAAGTGCCATGATCTTATTCTTTCTTATTGCTGAGTAATATTCCATTGTGTATAAATGCCACATTTTTTTTTTATCCATTCATCCACTGAAGGACATCTAGGTTGGCTCCACAGTTTAGCTATTGTGAATTGTGCTGCTATAAACATTGATGTGGCTGTGTCCCTGTAGTATGCTGTTTTTAGGTCCTTTGAGTATAGTATGAGAAGAGGAATAGCTGGGTCAAATGGTGGTTCCATTCCCAGCTTTCCAAGGACTCTCCATACTGCTTTCCAAATTGGCTGCACCAATTTGCAGTCCTACCAGCAGTGTATGAGTGTACCTTTTCCCCACATCCTCGCCAACACTTGTTGTTTGTCTTCATGATAGCTGTCATTCTTACTGGAGTGAGATGGTATCTTAGAGTAGTTTTGATTTGCATTTCTCTGATTGCTAGAGATGATGAGCATTTTTTCGTATATTTGTGGTATAAAGCTATATTAAGAATTGTAATGCAAAAAAAATCAATAAGAGAGCTCATGTATAACGGCATAATTTGGCATGAACATACTTTATATACAGAGTTATGAAAAATTGTTCTGTGAATGGATAATAATGAATGTAATGCAATCCACTCTGTCATGTATGAAAGAAATTTAAAAAATAAACAAAGATAAAGATCTTGTGTCCATCTACAACTAAAAAAACTTAATAAAAAATTACTTGTCTATTTTCCAGAGTATCATATTATTTTATATTCCCACCAGCTAATTATAAAAATTCAGTTTCTCCATATACTCACCAACATTTGGTATTGTCACTGCTTTTTTTTTTTTTTAGAGAGAGAGAGAGAATTTTCTAATATTTATTTTTTAGTATTCAGCGGACACAACATCTTTGTTTGTATGTGGTGCTGAGGATCGAACCCGGGCCGCACGCATGCCAGGCGAGCGCGCTACCGCTTGAGCCACATCTCCAGACCGCTGCTTTTTTTTTTCCTCTTCCCAAGCTAAAATAAATAAGTCTAGTGATATCTTATCATGAGTCTTAATTTGTGTTTCTCTAATGGCTAAAGTGTTGAGTTTTTGTTTTTGTTTTTGTACCAGGGATTGAACCCAGGGTACTTAACCATAGAGCCACACCCCCAGCCCTTTTTGTATTTTATTTAGAAACAGGGTCTCACTGAGTTGCTCAGGGCCTCTCTAAATTACTGAGACTGCTTTTGAACTCATGATTCTCCTGCCTCAGCCTCCGGAGCCACTGTAATTACCCACATGCACCACTGTGCCCAGCAGTGTTGAGTATTTTTTACATTCTTATTTGCCATTTGTATATTCTGTTAAATGTCTCATGTCTCTTGCCCATTTTCTAATTTGAATATTTCCTTTTTTCTTGTTACACTTTGAGAGTTCTTTGTGTATTCCAGATATGAGTCTTTAATCAGATATGTGGCTCAACTTGTCTTTTTATCCTATCAACAAGGTCCTTCACAGAAAATTATTTTAAATTTTGATGTAGTCTATTTATTAACTTTTTAAATTTATGGATTCTGCTTTTGCTGTCTTTTCTAAGAACTGTTGACCGCTCTCCTCCCTAAAGACTTTCTTTTAAAGGTTTTTTAGTTTTACATTTAAATCTATGACCCATTTTTAGTTAATTTTAGTGAGGTTTAGGTCAAGGATCACATTTTTACTTTATGCATACCTAATCCAGGAATACTTGTGGAAAAGATAATCCTTCTTCTGTGAACTTGCTTTTATACCTTTATTCAAAGTCAATGGGCCTCCTGAGCATGATGGTACACACCTGTAATCCTAGCTGCTTGGGGGGATGAGGCAGGAGAATCCCAAGCTCAAAGCCAGCCCAGGCAATTTAGCAAGACCCTAGATAACTCAGTGAAACCCTGTCTTAAAATAAAAATTTAAAAAGGACTAGGAATGTGGCTCAGTGTTTAAGTGTCCCTGGGTTCAATCCCTGGTGCCAATTAAAAAAAAAAATCAGTTGGTCAAGTACATGAAAAAATGTTCAACATTTTTTTTGCTAACAATTAAGGAAATGTTGTAAATCAAATCAAAACTACACTTAGATTTCATATCACTCCAGTCAGAAGGGCAACCATCAAAAATACCAATAATAATAAATGCTAGAGAAGATATAGAGTAAAAGGAACACTTCTATACCCTTGGTGGAATTGTTAATTAGGACAATGCTTCAGAAATCAGTATGGAGGGTCCTCAAGAGACTAGAAAATAGATCCACCTTATAACCCAACTATACCACTCCTCAATATTTATCCTAAGAATTAAAGTTATCTACTATGGTGATACATGCATACCCACATTTACAGCAGCACAATTTACAATAGCAAAGTATGGAACCAGCCTAGGTGTCCATCAATGAATGAATGGATAAAGCAAATGTGGTATAAATACACAATGAAGTTTTATTCAGCCATAAAAAATTAATGAACTTATGTCATTTTCAGGAAAATTGATGAATATTATGTTAAGTGAAAGAAGCCAAACTCAGAAATTCAAGGGTATATTTTCTTTCATATGTATTAGCCAGAGAGGAAAAAGAAAGAAAAGGCGTGTGTGGGGGGGGAGAGGTCTTATGAAAACTGAAGGGAGATTAGTAGATAGAGGAAAGAGAGGGACCAGGAAGAAGGAGGAGAAAGCAGGTAGGGAGAATAGTATTGGACAAATTATATTGTAATATTATGTGCATGTATAAACATATAATAAGAAGTCCCACCATTATATACAACTATAATGCACCAATAAAAAATTAAAAGAAATGGAAAAAATAAGTCAGTTGGCCATATTTGTGTGTGGCTATTTCTGGGTTCTCTATTTCAGAGGAAATTTTAAACCCAGGGATAGTTTTGATGTTTGGGTTAAATTTTAATAGTGATTTTATATATCAAGGAGTAACTTATGATGTGTCCCAGTGTTCAATAAGGCAATTACTCTAGTCCTGTTACTATCCCTATTAACCAAAATTCAGCCTCTTCATGTACTGATATTCTTATCCCCTCTTCTAGGGATTTTGAATCCCTAGAAAAGCCTCCACTCTGTGGTCTTTTTTATTTTCTACACATCCTGTGATCCAAGATCAGCACTGCCAA